TAAGGTAAGATCGAAGACGTTCATCGCCATGCAATAGAGCCGTAGCCACAGTCGTTTTCTTGAACTCTTCCATTGTTTGTAAATAACCTCGCTTCTAATTTCTCGTGAGCGGCGTTCTCCTCCGCGTAGTGGCGTCGAACGATCGATTTGGCTGTCTTTTCCGCAGTAGATTTTGCCTGCTCCATCTGTGTTGTATTATCCTTCTTAACAGCCTTAATTTGCTCTTTAACCGCTTTCAGAATTTCTTGATCTTGTGCTGCTATTGCAAGTCGTATTTCCACACTCCCTTGTTCTCTATGAGCTTTCAGAACGTCATGAATGCGCTGCTCCATGCTGGCGTGAAATTGGTCTTGAACGCGCTGAAAGGTCTCCGGCATTCGAACGCCAGCCTTATGTGCATGCTGTACCGTTTGGGCCTCAAAACCAGCTCGCGTTTGAGCCTCAGCAAGGTCGTTAGCTGCAGCAATTGCTGACTGTAGCTGTATGTTAACATGCTGTCCAATAGCCATGGGGTCTATCTGAGTTGAGCGAATCGTTTCAGCAAACACCAGGCTCCTTTGCTCGGCTTCGTCACGCGCTTGTTGAACGCGAGACTCAGTGTACAGCTGCTGTTGCTGGGCTTGAAATTGCTGACTAGCGTAAAGCTGCCGCTGACAGTCAGCGATATCTTATGCTTGGGCTGGTACGTGTGCAATCGCCATGCCTAGCCTGCGGTTGGTAACTCCGGCGCGTGAATCTTCGCTATACACCACGAGGTTTTACTGTTCTTGGACGCCACCGCGAGAGAAGATTGCGTGACTCTTCGGTAAATCGTTATGTGCTGCCAGCTAAAACTTAGGAGTCCGGGTGGCATTTTATCCCAGTGAATAAATACAGATATCATCTAACCCAGAGACAGAAAGTAGAGATCAAGGAGATCAAGGAGACTCCCTCTCTTCACTTACATACGAGAAATGGGAGAAGAAAAACCTCGAGAGATCGTCTCTCGAGGTTTTACATCTCCCTATTTTGGAGAGAGATCCGTCACCTCTCCTTCTAGGCTTGGAGTTTTTCAATGACAGAGTTAGGGGAGGCAATACACATTCTCGGATGATCAATTGAGCGGAATCATAAATTATAATAATCCGTTTCCGCCAACAAAAATTCGTTATTTGATCCGCTGTGAATACCGAGTAACAAATGACAGAGTAATATCTAGCCAAAGATTCCCTGAAATGGGTACGTCGCGTCCTTGGCGGAATATTGCTTGTTTTGTGTTGGTACATTCACGTCAACGTAATGCCTGTCCGGATCTCACATTTGAAGTATTGACGCTACAAGTCGTCACCGCATGACTTCGGTTCGAGCGTGCCGCCAATTCGGGCCCTGGGATAAGCAACAGAAAAACGCTAATGCTGAGACTATGTTGAAGATGCCTGTGATTGGTCGGTGAGGGGTTCGAGTAGGATCACTGAACCTAACCATTTCGGCTCCAATCTTTCTCCGATGTCTTCGCTCAGGTGATTCCGCCAATCCGCGGCTAGATACGCGACATCTTAGAATATGACTGGCTGTTTATATCGAAGTGTCACGCTATTCGCTAATGATGAAAGTATTCTAGAGCGCTGTTTCACCATTCTCATTTCCATTTTCGCCGGTTCCTGCTCACTACATCGTCAAAATGCTTGTTGTTCGCCGCCTCGTACGACTGTCGATCGGTGCCCCGCTACCTACCACTAGTAAGACGCCGTTCGCGGCGCCTCGCTTGACACTACGCTCGGCAACGCCATCCCAGGCGGACAGAAGAACACGAGTCAACGCGCCAACCGCTCGACTGTCGTCTCCACGTTGCCACTAGCAAGACGCTACGCTCAGCAACACCGTCCTAAGTGCGCTGCTGAAGACGGATCGACGTACGGACCACTCGGCTGCCTGATCACCGCCACGTTACCACTATCAAGAAGCCGCTGTCGGCGCTTCGCTCGACGCTACGCTCATAATAGCGTCCCAGCCGCACTGCGGAAGACGTACTAGACGGCTTGCTGTCGATAACGTGGTGTTGCTCGCCACTGCGCCGGTCGTCCAAATAGGCGCCTCGCTCAATCCACTCCGACAAAGTCACGCTGAAGAACGTCGACGTAGCCGCGCTGGTCGCTAAATCGATCTACGTGCTCGACACCTCGATCACACCACCGACGTAACCTTGGACGGCATGTCGATGCTCACGACAGTGGTGCGGCTATGGTCAAACAAACGTCGCTATTAATGACTAGCTGAATACGATCAATTTGGTCGTAACGGGCGTCATTTTTGCGGACTCGATGGTTGATCCACTGACTGGTCAGCCTCATGCTGTACAGCCAAAACAACATTCATGCTCGGGTCGAAGTGGAGCAACATGGAAGTCAGCATAACACTAGCATTCGGCAGACGTCTAGTGTCAAATTAAGATGGAGGGCTGGTTTTCGCTGCTCTATCGGAAATTCTCTGCTCGTCCATGTTGAGCATCGAGTCGTGCTTGGCCTGAAGTCAAGTCTTGATACTACCACGACAGATAATTTCGAACCCGTCGTGGAGGTCATCGCTGCGTTCAAATGATTTTACATTTGAAAGTTTTAAGTACGTTAACACTTCCTCATTTGTGTGCAGTAATAGAATATATCTAACCTTGAAACAGGCTTAGATGCAAAAGTAAATATAAGACAGAGGAGAGAAACAACAATAAATACATAATGTCTATTATATTTGGTCTTCAAATTGCGGGTGTCACAACTACTTTCAGCACCGAAATGCAGTCGCAACTGGGCGTTCTTAGAAACATTTTGTCGGTTTGAAGGTGCCGGGGCAACAATATATTTACGTTGGTGATGGTAACCGTGACCGTGAACCCCCCTCCCCGGTGCTATCTTGATACTGAGTCAAAGATGAGTTGGGACTTGAAAATACAACCTACAGTCAACGGAGCGTATAATGCAAGTGCATAGCAAAAATGCACTGTAACGGCAAAGAGCAATAATAATGAATGTGGTAGACAATATAAATGTTATTTATTATAACATCTTCTTCGAATACTGGCTCGTTCGAGTTTGATTGGTGGAATTAGATTGTACACCGTTGGCTTATTTTCTTCTTCCGATTGACAAATCTGTTGCGAATGGAGCGTCAGCTAATCCAAGCGCCGCACTGGGATGCTTTCATCAGAACGACCCGGCGTCTTGGAGGATGCCCAAGAACCAGCTGTTGTATAGACGTATCCTCGGTGTGACGCAAGGCTATCTAGTGCTGGTATCTAGGCAAGACATGCTGCTTCAACCAAAAGCAGCGAGCGATATCGTGTCCAGGAGCTGCAGCAGCATATATATAGCTGCAAAAAAGGGAGATCTCGAGCTAGATATGCACGGTACTACCAGAAGAAATGAAGGCCAAGCAAGCTACGCCGAAACCGGTGTTGGATCACCTAATAGATGCCGCGGATTTACTGCCGTATCACGCTTTTGGACGTTTCTATCCGGTATAACGCTCGCCATAATTTTGCCAGCGCAATCGTGTGGAGGACAAATACGTACCCATACCAGCAGCATCATATACCATTCGTCCATCGCTTGGAGCATCCACGCATCTACTTGAAGTAAGCTCTGCTGAGAGCTGCATCTCTTTCTTTCGATATATCCAATAGTTGACGACGAGTCAGATCTGTGTTGAATCTGGCAATATCGATAAGAGCCAACACAAGATGTTTGTGCCATGTCTTGAAAGAATGGGAGTCGGCAATAGAAAAACGTCCACGAATCTGGTCGAGTCTGTCAACACCTTGCATGCGCTTTTTATATTCCTTTACGCATGTCGGCGCTGGATACGATAGTGAGATTTCACCAACTTGACGCTCCACTGTCGCTATTGACGATCGTTCGCATTGGTTACCACCTGTACTCTACTCCCATCGCGCCATGGTGCTGCATAATGCTGTGTTCACCAGAAACGCCTTGGTGGTAGTCTCCACGGCGGGCTGTATTCTTGTCTAGCACCGTATGCTTCCGGAAATGCTTACTCGTACTTCTTACCATTCCACGTGCGTACAATCCTTTTAGACATAAAGCTTGTAGTAACTGGACAGATGTATAATAGTTGTCCACGTTGATAATTCTTTTTGATCTTTAAGCGGGTCGACGACTCTAAGCACAAATTCCCTGATAGACGAAACCCTTGCATCATCAAGCTCTCCATTGAATTCCTGCACAGCCTGCGCTGCTACAACGCCTTCCAGTCTCTCTTCCAAGTTTGTGTTACAGTTGACAACAATCCATGTCGTTGCACAGCGCAAAACATACAGACGGAAATGGCATTTTTCCGGTTGGTTCCATGGGGTTGAACACAATAACGTGACGACCATATTTTTGAGCGACGCGCAACGTTACATTCGTCGAGCGCTATATCACGTTCCATGCCGATGTACTTCCCCCCGGTACACTTCTGCAAATTTAGCATTGACCAAATTCGTCCGACAGAGTCCCTTGGTCTGCTGGAAGTGCTGACCGAAAGCGAAACACTCTACGAAGCAACCTGGAACGTCTCAAGTGCATAATATTCTCCAATCCTGGCGAATTTTGATTTCCCAAAATTGTGTCCTCCTGTTGGGGCCCCAGAAATTGATGTACTCGCCTTTGTCGTTGATGAACATGAAGCAGATAATACCAATAAACCGCATGAGCTTGACTAAAATCGCTGGGCTCACAATGTTAACGTCGTTTATCTTTGCGTAAGCGTTTTGACTCATTTACAATTTATTGCCATATAAGCAGTGTACGCAAGAAACCTTGACGACGCGGAATATGCGAAAAGATGGGTGAATTTAGGTCGCACACGGGTAGCCGTCGAACCGCTGCTGTGACTACACACGTCTGGGGAAACGTTCACCTGAATTCGTGGGTCAAATCGCATACTCTTGACAGCCTCCACATCCTTTAAGATTGTTGGGAGGGGGCTGGTCTGAATCAAACTTAACAAAGTCTTCATCTGCTTTCACTAAATCTTCCAGCACAATATAGCTTGGAGGTCCTTTACTTTGTTGTGCCGTAGTCAATACTGCCCATGAAGGTTTTAGTGTTGACTTCGTAAGTAGTCGAAAGTTTTCAACCCCTTCTTTCGGAACGCCAAGCGGGACAGAATGCGTATAGTTTTGAAACCATGTTGTCTAGCCAGCGGTTTTCATTCCGAGCAGGTCGATTTTGCATCACGCGGCGAAATAACGTCCAGCAACGTAAGCGGTACCCTCGGGTCTGAACGTCGGTTCCAGTTTTTTGTTGTTGTCAAGAGCCACTTTTATTTTGAAAGCGTGTAAGCGATATTTTTTTTGTCATATACACTTCTGAACTTGCCGCCGACGACGAAGGAGATCTGGCATTTGGTACATTTTGCGGGTTTAGTATTTGTGACTTCGTTTCATTCATTCCCATTCCATATCCAAACTCAAATCCACCTCACAGCATTTCCGTTTCGCTTGCACAAACCCTGACTCCGGGGTCGTCACCAGAAACTCGACCCCCTCTACCTCAACATCGGCTATCGTGAGCAGTGTGAGCGCTTGTAGTACGATCCTTCGTCCTCCTGGAGGGAAGAGGTGTGCCAACAAGATCAGCAAGCGCTACAGCAGACCCTTGGGCTGGGGCATGGTTCGGCCAAGAACTCCTCCAAAGGCTTGGCTACAACCATTCTGTTTTGGACTTACTTGGATTTGTAAAGTATACAATCTCAAGTGTTCGCGAAAAGGTTAAGATGGATACACATCATTCTTCTAGCCTTGGGGCTGTATCGATACGAAATCTACGACTTCCAGGATTTATGCGCGTTAAAGTCGCGATTTACCTATTGCAGATAGTATCCAGAGAAGTACACTTTATTAAGCTTAGCATGAAATATCCATTGTTTTTGTATAGCGTTCTGGACGAAGTGAGATCCAACGACGCCGCGACAACTCTGAATCAGCCAGTAAATTGCTGTCAGTTCTGATTCTGCCAGTAATATGATCATTCTGATTCAGCCAGGAAGAATTACAACTCTGAGTCAGAACTACTGACGGAAATAGGTTTCCGTCACAAACTGTCTGTGGAAGGCTAGAATAAATTGAGTGCCTGAACTTTAGTTTCCATAAATACTAGAAACGTCCAAGCTAATTATAAAGTCTACGTTCTTTTTTTTACTCTATATTGAGAGAATCAAACACCGATTACCTTGAGCAATTTGCTTCATAAATAAAATTGTGGAGTTTGATTTGGCACTATGGACTGCCCAGTGTCTAGGATAGGAACAGCGTCAGTTTGCCTATGATTGTCAAAGAAAGCGTTGGATTCAATCGTTCTATGTTCGGCTCCCATATTAGATGGTAAGATCTTTCGTACTTCTCTGGTCCTGAAAAGAATTAAGATCGGTTTTCTACCTTAAAAACTCACATGTTTGATTTGTCAATACCCTTTCTCTGATAGTTACAATTGGAACATGAGAGAATTTGTATGTCGAGGTGATTGACTGCTTTTGAATCTATCATAAACCGGATTCGTTTTAGTGATATATCACTGGATTAAGCTCATTTTCCATTTCCCCAGTTTAGTTTTAAGTTTGATGCTAATTATTTCTGAGCGAAAGAAAGTCAGCCCTTCATAAAGTGATAGTTTAAATAACCAGGCATTGACATTTTGCTGGAGCACGCATGTTAGAAAAAAATTCGTGATCGTTCTAATAAAGAGCTTTTTCAATACAGCTCACCCCCGTATACATTTAATTCATTGAACGGAATTACCGCAGGTGTAGTTAACGGTTAATTTTATAGCAGACCGGAGAAGTAAGTATTTTTGGTTTATATCTCATGTTTGTAGTGCAGGGCATATATGAG